ATAATACAAAGTTCCAGTTATTTACTAATATGCCTGTGCTGTTACCTTGTGGTGCACCCTAGGGTAAAGCACGTTATTGAATTATGTTGTTTAATAAGTTATTTTTGTTGGAGTACATGTTAATTTGATGAAAAAAATATTAAGAGTACATACTTCATAGTGGGGAAAGTAGTAGGTCAATGACTAGAAATAAGAATATAAAAAATCAAGAAGATACTGTAAAGTGACTCCTATAATAAAACAGTTTTAAGTGATGGATGTACAAGGATATTCAAATGAGGATGGTGCAAAAACGAGCAAACTAATTAACGCCGTTTTTTAACACATTAAAGAATACTTAGGTTTTCTTTTCAAATAAGAAAAAAGCCTTTGGGGTATCTATCTACAGATTAAATATTAAGCCTGACAAAGACTGGTAACGTCTAATAATTGCTTTCCATCCCCTGCAATGTTTTTTAACTTTGTAATTGGGCGGTTGAAAGCACTATTTCAACTGATATTATACACATTAATATACTCTTATGTATGTAGGATAGTATGAAGAAATGTGCAGAATATGACAGTTAATGGGTGGAGGTTTACACACATAATGATTATGCCTCTGTAATTGCAACTTTCTCGAGGAACACTGTGACCCAATTTTCTTCATTATTGCATAACCTACACAGAGGTTGTTGTATATGATATGCTCATAAACCGGATTGTGAAGAATCCTTGAAATCTTGAAAGGGATGCTCAAAATAGCAATTACATAACATTTTTATAACTATTAGGTAGAGGTATACACGATTATGAATATTACTTTATAGAGATCCTCAGATAAATGTTTAGTCTTCTCAAGACCAACCTAGTCAAATTCTCTCCTGATTGTTGGCCACTTGACCAATCACCTTTTCCTGAATTTTACCTCAGCGTGTAACTAAAGTCTGGCTTTAAAGGGGTTGTTTATATTCACTCTTTAATCAAATCTGCAAAGTAACTAAACTGTAGTGGAGTAAGAACATACAGGTTCACCTCTGTATTGTTCAGTTGAGTATAATTACAAAGGAACATGAGCTGTCATGTGGGTATATATTAATGCTGCCCATTTATGGATACAGTCGATTTCACACCATGTTAAGTATTTAACATGTTTTAAAGTGGTACACACCATTTGTTCTCCCTAGAACCTCCAGGCCTGTACACAGTTAATACCCGTCAACTTCTAATTTTTGGAAAAACGAAAACGTCTTAAAACTACAATTCCCAGTAAGCTTGGCCCCGAGTGCATAGAGAGGATGCTGCGAACCAATGAGCCAGCATGTGTAGTCTGGGGGTGGCGTTCGAGTCAAGTTTGGAATAGTCTGCCGTGTTACGTTCCAATTCCAAAGAGGTTGACGCCCCGGCGTAACTTGGCGCACGGCACTCCAAATCCATCCCCAGAGCTTGAAGATAATCCGGCTTTGTCGCAAGCGGACAGGCGTCGTCACAAAATAGCTGGGGGATTGTGCTAGTGGTAGTCCTTTGGTCGCTCCACATTTCAGAGAAAACAGTTGTTCTCAGAATGAACGGGGAAAAACACAAAGCATTGCACCACAATTTAAACCTTATCAATGTCGTTTAATTAACAAGGATAATCTGTTGTTTTGAGTTGATGAGAAGTAAGTAAGTAAAACTTGTTTATACTACGCACCCTTCCCAAACACGGATGTACAAAGTGCTTTAGCAGTACAGTACATCTGGACACAATCAAGTAACAACTTATAAAATGAGAATAAAAGGCATAAGACCACCGCAGCAGGTAAACATAGGATAAAACATAGAAAAACACCAATAAAGGACAGCCATAATCACCTCCTCCGACGACCCAAAGGCCTGTCGGAAAAGGTGGGTCATTAACTGCCCCTTAAAAATCTCTATTCAGGCAGAGGCTTTTATTATCTGAGGGAGTTTGTTCAAAAACCCTGGGGCCACCACCTCAAAGGCCCTTAGTCTTTAGCCTGGCTCGGGGCACCCTTAGGAGGCCTTGCTCAGAGGACCTCAGGGCCCGGGTTGTGCTATGAGGGTGGATCAGGTCATTAATGTAGGCTGGGGCTGGGCCATGGACAGCGCTATATGTGAAGACCAATACTTTGAATTGGGTTCTGAGATGGACAGGGAGCCAGTGCAGGGCAGAAAGGATCAGAGTGATGTGGCATGTTTTTTTGGACCGAGTAAGCAATCTGGCTACAGCATTTTGGACCTGTTGTAACCGGTTTACTGATGTTTTGTTGAGGCAGGAGAACAGAGCATTGCAATAATCAAGCCGGGATGAAATAAAGGCATGGATAGCCATCTCCAGTTCTGCATTGGATAGAACCCCCCTGAGCTTGGCAATGTTCCTGAGATGGAAAAAACAGATACGGGTCAGAAGTTTTATGTGTTTGTCTAGTAGCATAGACTGATCGAAGGTTACGCCAAGGTTTTTTATGTTTGCCCTAACGTTACCACTGAATGAACCCAGGTGGCTTGCTACCTTAGAGGCGATGCTATCAGCCGCGAAGATCAAGACTTCCGTTTTTGATGCATTGAGCTGTAGGAAGTTGCTTGACATCCACTCCTCAATTGCAGACAGACATAGAATCAGGGTGTTTACATTTTCCATTTTGACAGGTTTGACAGAGAAATATATCTGGATATCATCTGCATAACAGTGATACGAGACACCCTCAAATTGGCTAATTAAGCGGCCCAATGGAAGCATGTACAGGGCAAAAAGAAGGGGGGCAAAAACAGAACCCTGGGGCAGGCCGCAGGATAGGGGAGTGCTATGTGATGAGAACGGGCCCACCGCCACGGAGAAACTTCTCCCACTGAGGTACGAGGCAAACCACTGGAGGCCGGAACCTGAGATGCCTGCCCACTCCCTAAGTCTATCTAGCATGATGGCGTGGTCCACTGTGTCGAACGCTGCACTCAGGTCCAACAACACCAGAACCACGCAATCGCCTGCATCCGATGCCATCATGAGGTCATTGGAAACCCTGAGGAGAGCTGATTCTGTGGAGTGGTTTTTCTGAAGCCTGATTGGAATTTGTCAAGGATGTTATTGTCATTCAGAAATGTATTGATCAAATGGGAGCAGCTCATTCTTTAAGTGAAGTTAAAAGGTAAAGCAACATGTTTAAATGTTGTTGCAGGTCAGATTGTTACATTAGGGTCAAACCGTACACATCCAGGTAGGTTTTCTGGGTCGTACATAAGGTTACCAAAACATTCAAGTGGTGGTGTGTGTATGGCTGTTTTAGAGTTGAGTGGGGTGAAAAGGGTAGATATTTGATAGTAAGATTGTCAAATTTAAGGAATTAAAAAAGCGGAATTAGTAGCATTAATTTGTTTCGGTTTTTAAACAAAACATTCATAGTTGGTCATTTCTCCAAAGAGGCTTAGGGTGATAGCCAATGGGTGAAAGCCAACCTAAGATGTTCCAATGTTTCTGAATGAGCTTTGTCCGCTTTGCATCGCCATACAGTATGTGTGTTTTGGCCAATGAAGTAGCTTTGTCTTTGTTACATGCTTTTAATCTTGCCCCTAGTCGCCACATTTATAGCGGTTGACGCTGAGAAAATGTATTGAAAAGATTCAATTAAGCTCATAAAGGCAAAAGACAGGGTTTCTGCTGATACAGACACCGCAACAAACTTACGGTAGTTCAAGTGATTGAAGTATTGAGTCTTTACATTGCGTTTCTTTAGGAAATCCTGCTCATTGTACCTTTTAAAATAGTAACATCTTTTGCAATAATGGTCTAAATACACCAGCTCTAAAATGAACTACTAGATAAAAATCAAGAAAGGCTAGACGAACAAACATAGTGACAATCACATTAACGTTATGCTTCCCGAGTGTACAACTAACCTCATTTGTGTGCCTGGTGCCGCTGGGGTGATTCTCAAACTGGGCCTTGTTCTTCAATGTCCAGTACGGATATACAACTCCTCAGATTCACTACAAAATCCAGATGGGTTGAATTAAGTAATCAAAGCAAGATGTGACCACCGTGGTTTTCTAATAAAAACACATCCGCATTGGAGTAAACTACAGTGTATCTCCATTTCCTTTCCAGTCTCCTCAGTAAGTGTTCCTCACATGGACACTTTTTCTGTCCTGGTGTTGGACAGCTGTGCTGCGTTACCGTGTGGTCCTGTTACGCTGCATGACCTTTAAGAGACGGACAGAAATGACCTTATAAACATTGTTTTGACAGTCTTTATGAAACAAGAAAGAGCTACATATGGGGTCTCGAGTGTTTTTACAACAAATGGGATTTCAAAAGGCCAGCTCAGTCCATTACTGAAGCTTCCAAACCAAATGATCAGCTGAGAGCTTGTATCTCTCTTGTGTCTTGATGAGCGACAGACAAAGACTGTTGCCATACGTCAAACTTGAAGCAAAGTTGATACAAAAAAGATGCCAGAAAGTGAAGCACAGACACTCACTTGACATTTTGAATGACCCCCACCCACAACCTCACACACATGTAAGCCAACACTGAGAAGAACCTTGACACTGAAAGATATAACCCATTGTCCTAGAAGAGGTTTAATGGCCTTTTAAATGCTGGTGGCTCACAAGCAAAAATAATGCTAGAAGGGAACTTCCAAGCCTTGATACTAAGCACCTCCAGAGATGTCGATCAAGAATAAGTAGGTTTAGTGACTAGAAAATCCAGGGATTAGACATCACAAGGTTCACTGAGTCAGCCGATTCTGTGCACAATCGGCCTATTTATTTCATTGGAGAGTAACAATGATTCTAACGGAGGCACAAAGTAACGGCTGTTGACCACAGAAAACCTCACTATTTTTTTAGGGGGACTTTAATTAATTAATGTATGAGTCTAGAGTTATCTAGAGTTTACAACATTGTGTCGTTTCAGGAATAAAGTGTCCTCCATTCCTAACCTCTGAGATGTTTCCAATAACACATGGTGCATAATCAAGTTTTTTGTATTAATTGCTGTAGCTGTGGTTGTTTAAAAATAATGTTATATTAATATATTTATTTTGGCTTTAATGCCCTTTGGTTTGTATGCACGAATAGCAATATAGCTTGAAAAGGGATATCATTTCAAATAAAAAGATTTCTGAGGTGGCAAGGATAGAGTTTTTTCAATTATTTTCTTAACTTTGAAATCATTCAAATAAAAGCCATGGTACAATTTATAATCCCGATTCTACAGTTTATTTGCTCAGAATATACAGTTTTCTTTAACTTTTTTGGAAACCTTTACAGCCCTCTCTTTCTGTTTTGACAGAGCTCATACTATGTAGACCCTAATTATCTTTGTGTTTATTAAAAAGGTATGTCATGCTTCATCCAAACGCTGCTATTCACTGGCTTCCACCTGATCTTTCATCGCCAAAAATAATATGGCCCAGGTGGGGCACAGTAATGTACATGTCACCACAATGTGTCAGGTCTGAACTTAGTCACCTCACCTTCTCTTTATTTCCGTCCTTGAGTATCCTTTCAGTCTCTCTTCTATCTAATAAAGCAGAAATGTCCAAATAAATGAAGATTTTAAAAAGAGCTGTTTCTCTGTGTAAATGCTTTTAACTTACACAGATAGTCATGTGAGTGTCTTGCCTTAACTGAACTTTCTTTAGAAGCACAATGGTCATCACTGTTAAGGCTTAAAAAGTTCCATTCATATAGCAAACTGACAGTTTACACAGATTAAATCACATTGTATCCTGAAGACTAGACAAAAAGGTAACAATTCAATAATCCAAGGAAATTAACTTAATCATCAAAGTCCATCAAAGGTGTTTTTTGCAGCTGTAGAGACAAAAAGAAGTCCAGATCCTCTTACTTAGGACACATCTGCGAAATAAAAGCAGATGTTTTCCTGCAAATGCTGCAACTATACATGACGTGTCAACACATGTTTGTCAAGCGGGGCTTTTTTTCAGACCTGCTATTCCATCCTATATTATTACAACATGGAACCATGGCTGAAGATAAGCAGATGAAAACTGCAGGATCACTTTATACACGGTCAATCAAAAACACACAAGAAAAAAAAGAATTCCTATAGTCTGAAGAAACAGAAATATAGGGATTTAAAAAGGGTTTTGTTACCCCTTCCCAGCACACTGTGAGCCGGTCTCAAATGGCTTTCCTGTACCTCTGGCCATGCTTCTTCACTGAAAAGAAGAAACCCCAAGCCAGCTGTGATTTTTAATGTGGCATCTAATTCAGCCATTAAATGACATGGTGGGGTGTCCCCCCTACAGCCGTCCCCCTCCCCCAGCTCTCTTTTGGCAAAACCACGCTGGGTGCATGTCAAAGATCACATGACAATAGGGATTCCTTCCCCGGGCATGAATCAGACCTAATTCAAGCATGTCGCAGCAGCCAGAGGCATGGCTCTTGAGAGCGAGCAACAGGCCTTTTCAACCTGGACACACACAGCATTCCTGAAAAAAAGCTGTGTTCCTTGAAATATGGTTTTACTCTTTTTAAGTTGTTCACATGTTCTGATCTCCAATTAGGTCGGAGAAGTGTAAAGATCCAGATTTTGGATGTTAAAAAGACAGACCAAGAGAAGGTAGATGATTGGCAAAATGCAAAAGATGTTTCGACAAACCTTTGGTTCCAATGAGTACAAAGAATGATTCTGCCAAATAATACTGCATCTATTCAGATCACGGTCAATCAAATATTTATCAATGTCCTCTCGGTTTCCTCTCCCTATCATCTGACATTTCTCCAACTCAGTATTTAATAGATCAAATGAAGGATATAAGTGAGGTTCAAAGATAAATTATTCAGCAGCAGAAGAGAGTCTGTTCATTCAAAGGGTCATATAGCCCTTTAGCACCGCTACCATTCAAATAAATGATCCTTTGTCAGATGTCCTGACATTAGAACAGCTGGAAAGATACATGTAAAGTTCTGCTTACGCTAACAGCTCTTTACACATGAGGGGAAGAGGGAGGGAAGCATCTTGTCCAGTATTTTTAGGTGCAGTCTCCAGTTGGACACAGATTAAGACACATGGACAAACAAGGAAGGAATGTAGGTTTCTGAGCAATGAGGACTTTGGACTAGAGAAAAACCTGTAAACAGTCCCAAAGCCCCTCTGACCTCCTCAGAGTGGACAAAGTGCTGGGTTTTATCACTGGATCATAACAATGTGTCATCGCAGGTTGTAGCAACCAGGGAGTCTGTTAGTGAAACATAAAAGGGTACTGGAGAGTCGTGTTTAAAAAATAAGCAGCAGACTAATGCAATATGAAAATGTAGTAGTGCTAAGCATACAGTCTCTCTACTGTGTTCTCATTCTTCCTATGTCAACTGAGGTGTACAAACTTGCAGTTTTTCTTAATATGTATCGCTTTTTCTGCTAAGAAATGTGGTATGTCCAGCAGCCTATACCAAAGAGGATATTTCTCAGCCAGCTGTATTTATCTTACCCTATTTTACATGTAATTAGAATACTTATTTCTGTATTTACTTGCATCATTGTGTCATTTGCACCATGCTCTACTTTTTAATATACACTTTGCTCGAGTATTTCCATTTTGTCCTGAAATATGTCTCCTCCAGTGCATTTTGGAGGCTAATCATACTTTTTTTCTAATGATACACTGATATATTATACAGTAATGTAACATCTAACCAGAATTAAAAAAATTAAAAAAATCTAACATTAGTTCCAATTTTCTATTCAGAACTTACAGCATAAGGAAGTATTTCTACTTTTACTTAAGTAGACAGTTTGAGTACTTCTTCCACCTCTTGTCTTAAGTATATTTTATGTTGCCTTGTTGGAGAAGCCTTGGACTTCTCACAGTACAGGCTTTTAATTGAATCTTAAAGATATTTCACTGTATGAATGAACTTTTATTTAGAAGGAACCCTGAGCGTATTGGCAGATATATGTCTGCACAGAGGCTGCGATAAAACGTTGTAAATGTCGCAAAAAAGAAAAAGGTAGCAGCATCAGAGCCAGGATATTAATGCTCCAAGTGATATTTCTTACCTGGCCATTGCGATGCCGCTTGTCCAACGAGAACAAGGACGCAGCAGAGAAGGCACTCCAGCCATGAGGAACACCTACAGAGGCAGCAACAATCAAACTTTAGCGCTTCACCAAAAGTCGCCCAAAAAGTTGAAATACAAACGCAAAAAGCAAAAGTACCTCATCTTCATGTATTGGTTCTCTGGTACCGAGTAGGGAAAGATACATGGACCGTAAAGTGTTCGCAGCCTCTTGGTCCAGCAGCCCGCTGCCTGCACGCTGCTCCAACAGCTGATGGGGACTCGGATGGAGACAGGAGGCGTGTGGAGAGAAGAAGGACTTGCAGGAGGTCAGAGGGACTTCCGCCAGGTCCTAAAAGGGAACACGTTACTCTCATTGGTTACTGTGGATTGTACCATCTGGGATTCATGTCATCCAAAAGTATTAACAATAAGAAGAAGACAAATGAAGACAAGTTTATGTTTATGGCACAGGCAATTCAAAGTGATCTACAAAAAACTGTAGAGGATACATTTGCACACATTTAAAAACAGTCATTAAAATGCTAAGAGAATGTCATTCTAAAATATAAGCCACATGAGAACATGACAGATAGAAAATACAAGAATACAAATGACAGTGCAGTGTATTATATGAAAAGTTATTTCATTTAATAAAATGCAGCAGCAATCAAAAGTCTTTCAGTTTTGATTTAATAGTGTTGAATAATTTCTAGTAATTTGTTCCAGATATATAGAGCATAATAACTCGACGTTCCATGTTTAGTTTTGACTAAGAAAAGTAAATTGATATGAATACAAATTATATGAATGAAATTAGGAAAAATGTTTTATAGCATGTATTATTAGCATATTACATTTTAACTATGTGAGGTCAAACATGACTCACAGGTCCAGTATTTCCGTTTTTATTTCTTTTTGGGGAAAAATCAATCAAACAATCACAATGGAACAGGTAAAGAAAATTCAGCAAAATAGAAACAAGAAATAAAAGGTATACCAAAATTTCGAAACAAACTCTTCAACCATACGGAATTCCTAGATGTTTATTAAAATAAAAATATATCATAGTATGTTCTTTTGCTGTAAAACTACTGTATGGTATCATTTTAGACACACAAGAAAAATAAATAAAACAAGCTGATGAATAGATGGATACAACAACTGCCGAGTCTCATTCAGGAGGCAACAGTCATTTAGCTAAAATATGCAATTTTTTATAGAAATGAAGATTGGTAAAGGCAAGATTGTCCCTTGCTTTGAAGCCATATAGGATGTTTAAGTTTTGCCGGCACAACAAAAATCTGCGGGAAGAGGGCATTGTTGTACCTTAATCTCTAAAGTAAAAATATCATAACATGGCTTCAATAATAAAGAAGTTAACACAACATAAGTGTCACCATATTTAGTTCACCTACCCATCAAAAATGTCTTCTTCAAATGTAAAAACATAACACATTAATATATTGTTGCTAGTAGTTTTTCCCATAATGTCTCAGGTAAGGGTATGAAGGGAAATATTTCAGGAGCAGGAAAAGCCTCTTTGGTTCTCAAATTTGATGAGACGAGAGAACAGACAGCTTGTGTCTCTGGTGACAAACCTGACAAACCCGGGGTTATGCCCCTCCACTGTCAGAAGCTGGAGAGGATGTGAATAGGTGAAAAACTACTACCTGAGCTGTGCAAACCTGACTTTTCCACCGGAAAGTCTTCTGTTATTCATGCAAAGTTTACACAGTCAATACCCTCTCAAGCTGTAGTGTGCTCACAAGAACGGACTTGACAAGATAATGACACGTGTGGTTTCAGTGCAGCCTTATTTACTTTATCTTGCTGAGAGGTAAGAGAAAGGTGAGGCCTTCATCAGGAAGAGGTTTCTTTAGCAATGTAAAACATGAACTTCTATGCTATTGTTATGTATGATTGTACTAGCTGAGCTAAACATGCAACATCAGTAAACAATCAAACTGTAACATCATTTCCTGTAAGATAACTAAGCAACTCAAATGCATAATGTAAATTATGTTAGCAAAAATGTATGAGAAAAATATATTTAAAAATAAGCACAATAAAAAAGTTGCAAACAATAAGTGAGAAGTGTAGGAGCATTGTTTTTAGTATTTGCCCAGAAAAGCATAAATATCTGCCGTGGCAAGTTGCACTTACACAAGGTGACCACCAGAAGGCGCAGATGGTGTTCTTTTCTGCAGAGGAAACATTTGCTTACTCTTTTATGATTTTTAAATGCACTGCTGTCCCACTACAGTATACACTGTTGAGGGAACTTGGTTGTATCTCTCTGTGTCACGTCTTCCCCGCATCTGTGTGGAGTTTGTGATGCTGAAAAAAAGAACAGCAATAATGATGCTAAAAGCCCAATACCTTGTTAAAAATCCTGAAAAAGGGTGTTGTTAGTCTTTCAGATGGATTTGAATGTTTTTTAGGGCAGATACACCAAACCAGGACAGAAAGAAAAAGAGGATGAAGCTAAAAGTAAGCACTGTTATATATAGTAATCTCAGTTTTTTGCCACAAACCACAAAAACGACTTGATGCCGCAGCTCTACGCAGAAGTACTGACATGTTTGTGTCCTGGTCATTTAGCACATGGTTTCAACAATGTAACTGTACTTAAATGAACCAGGTATATCCTTGGAGTGAGTAAGGTGAGTTTGGCCTCACAGGTGGAGGTGTTGGTTTAAGTGCTCTGGCTCCATGTTACATTAGCGGCTCTGTGTGCAGGCTGCTGTCTGAACAAGCCCTCAGATCTGTGGATGTCTACCTAGCTCACATTCCAATGTCAGGGAAAAGAAAGGCAACATTTTCAGTTAAATTCTATATTGCAGGGCGGGACTCTTTCCACAGAGAGTAATATTATATATTGCCAACTGTAGCTCTATAATGAAAACATAACTTCAGTTATTATCATCTGAGGAGCAATGTGTCACAGCTGTAGTCATGCTAATTGTTATGTCCTTTCCTACAGGATGCCGGAAGACTTGCTACAGTACAGTACATGATCATAGGGTATTAAAAGTAACATTACAACTTATTTATTGATAAATGATGTAGTCAATATATATACTAATTGATAACTTGAAATACAAAAGGATAGGAAAGGTAGAAAAACATGAAATAATATGGATAACTCATATAAACGTTATTGATTAAACCTTGTAAAAAGGGTCTGTGAGAGGGCACATTCTGCTGACTTTTAGGTCAAATCTCCATGCTGTCAGATTCATGTTTTGGAGAAAATAAGAATTTATTTTCGTTTTTAAATGTTTACATTACATGCATTGACCCTCTGATTTTACAGTTAAGTGCACCCACCCATTTAGTTCTTGCTCAGAAATTATTGCATGTTATTCTTCCTCTCTTTGTTAACATATATATAACAGTATATATATAATAATATATATATATATATATATATATATATATGATTATAATATATATAATATTATAATAATATACAAATATATACAAATATATATACTGTATATGTATTTCCTCAATGGAAGCTTTTCAATAAATGCACTTAATTCATTCTCAAATAAATCTGAAAAAAGGAAAACAAATGCTCATCATACAATGCCATTTTAGTTTCAGGGTCAAACTCCACTTTGATGTGCACAATATACAGAAACAGAAACAAGCTTGAAACTTCAAACTCAGGGAAATGAGATATGTTGTTTTATCTTTACCTTACCTTAAAGTACTCATCTGACATATAACTTAAAGGTGGGGTAGGTACGTTTGAGAAACCGGCTCGAGATACACTTTTTGTTATATTCCATGGAATGTTCTTAACATCCCGATAGCAATGAATATCTTAAGTGCTTTGACAATAAATCCATAAAAAATGTCATCTGTGGAAGCCGTAGCACTGTAAAAAGCACGACCAATCATCTGAGCCGGCCCGGCTAAAATAACTGGATGGCCTACCTGCCTGTCAGCCTTCCATCTGTGCACAAACTTATCTCGTGCCCTCATTGGTCATGTGCGCGTTCGTGTGTGTTGGAGGAGGGGCTCTGTAAGGAAGTGGCAGATTTTTTCCGGTTGTGTATTTTAAAATTCTAGCGCACTACAGCTGGTTTCTCCAAAATGACCTACCCCACCTTTAATATTTACAAGAATACTTGCCTCAATTGGTTGAAGAGTCCAACTACGAATTCATTACTTTGTTCTTAAATGGACAACCTGGCATTAGAAATACAAAATAGAATAGGTCAGTTTGAGCTGACTTTCAAATCACTTTGAAGTATAGAAATATGTTGGCATTGTTAGATCTTGAATGGCAAAGCACCAACATGTCATATTGCCTCTGTTCTTACAGCAACCTTGACACACTTATTGATCCCTTCCATATAAGTTCTCCAACAGACTGTGCTGCTAAATGGTCCAGATCCTGATGGCCGGATTGAACCGGCTGTATTTACTTGGCAGAGTCTTTGTTGATGGAACAGTGTTCGTAACCAGGTCGTTCTGCTGATCCTGACGACACTTTTCACATTTAAAAGCTTCACACCATTTCCAAGTCCAATGATTTACTGCTCTTTTGATAGCTTGACCCAACGTTGTTTTCCATCATAACTTCAACAAAGCTTTTTTTTCTATTTGTTTATCAATCAACTGTTTCAACTCGAAGCAGAAAGCACTGTTAGCATTCTTTTTACTTAAGCTTTTAGCTTAAAGACCAACAATTAAAACATCCCAACACTTTTGTGTACAAACCTGAGAAGAGTTATAACTATATGCTGATCTTTTCGAAATATTTAAAAAAAATTACATTTAAATGTGCCCTGAGGACATTATTACAAATACCATCATCAGCAAACCATGAAAACATTAAATAAATAAATCCACAACTTTTGGGATTCTTAGAAGTCTATGATAGCCAATATACATTCAATAACATATTAGCTGGAACTTATACAACATAGTGCAACATTAAACACTTTAATCAGGTTTTTAGTTTGGGATATGCAATGTTCTGATACAATAACAACTCTTTAAGTTGTTGCTCAGTCGTTGTCACAAAACGTTTCATAACCAGCTTCAGGGTCTGAGTTATATCAGATTACTTCCAACAGCTGAAATCAGGAAAAGGGGGGTGTGGGGCTGCGGAGCCACTAAACAGCTGAAGGGACACCGCAGCCCACGCTGACACTCACTAGCACACAACAGACTCACACCCAGGTCCACGTGTTGTACAAGCCCCTCACCACAAGGCACAGGATCAAACACTGCCCGTTGGCATAACACTGATACTCGATTGAGAAATACAAAACCC